GGTGCAGAGCACCACGACGCTGGCGAGACCGGGGAGGTGGTCAAGCTCGTCTCCGAGGTCGGTGGGATGAGCGCAGTCATCAGGTGGCAGTCGGGCCGCGAGGGCCGCACCCCCGTGGACTCGATGAAAGAGACTCTCCGGCTCTTCTCCCCGAAGTCGACCGTGGAGCGTTCGTCCTCCATACTGGTCGGGAGCACGACCTCGGGCTACGTGTTCGCGATCGACATAGCTACGGGCAACGAGGTGTGGACGACAGTGGCGTCCAGCCAGATCGCGGGAGTGAAAGGGACCGTCTCCGGCTCTGGCGGGAAGGTGTTTGTGGCAACCAATCGGTGTGTCGACAGGTATTGCTACCGCTACCGCAGCACAACGAACCCTCTAACCCCGGGCAACACCTATGTCCGAGCCCTGAACGCCGTTGACGGCTCTCAGATTTGGGCCTTCAAGCCTAAATCACCGCTGTGGAATTTCGTGCCGCAGTTTGGCGGAGATGGCGGCACCGTGATGTTCAACGACTATGAGGGCGCTGTCTATTCCTTGAACATCGAAACAGGCGCCCTCATCTGGAGGGCCGAAGGAGCCATGGGGACGCACACCCAGTCGAGTTGCGTGTACAGCAGCGAGCTCAACCAGGTGTTTGCGATGGGCGTGAACAACTACGAGGGTGAGTTCTGCAATCCGTACGTCCCCAAAGGGATTCAGCCAGCGTGCGGCACGCAGGCAGGGTCCAGTTCGATCCGATAGATCCGATTCGATACAAACTTTGACCAGCCCGTGCCGATTCGCTTATGAGATTCCGACGATCAGATGCGGTCCAAGGTTTTGCATGATGCTGTTGTGCAATCTGGCGCGGCCGATGCGACACGTCGGATCCGTGCCGACACGGCCCGATTCGATGCGTGCTCCGATAAGATCCGATTATGTGATTCGTTGCTGGCTGCTCCTGCAAGGTCGATGCGCCGGGCTGGGTAAGGGCCCTCAACGCTTCCTCTGGCAAAGTGCAGTGGGAGACGGGTCTCCCGCAGCCGCCAGCGAGTGCGGCCGTTGGCTTCCTGAACACGCCGAGGCCGCGGGAGAGGGGAAGCACCCAACTCCATCAGGCAGGGCCCATTTCGATGTGGGTCGGTGTCGATTCTGGCCGGCTCGGTCCGATTCGATTCCCCTATGCCGACGATTCGATGCGGCCAGATGTTTGCATGGCGCTGTGGTGCATCCTGGCGAAGTGGATCCGATTTAACTTGGACTCCAGGCCGGTGAAGTCCGATCCGACGCACACTCCGGTCTGATCCGTGTTCCCGATTCGATGCTGACTCGTCTTGCCAAGCCTGCGCAGGCTCAGCTGGGGCCCAGCATCTTCCAGTAAGCCAACAAAACTCAAGGGAGGGAAAACCACCCGGACCCGACAATTGACGTTTACTGAACGGCCCAGGGCGTTTATTTAACTGCCCTGTTCGATTTTCCTCGGGTGCGTTTACGAAACGGCTTCTTTTGTCGGGGGGGGGGTAATTTTGGGGATGGATGTTCTGCCCTCTAGGAACGGCACAAGCATAAACCTGGGAGTTTTGCGAGGGTTTCTTAGCTCTGCGCAGGACCCCCTGGCGGTGCCTCCGGCGCCGCCTCCGGCGCGCACAGGCGCGCGCCAGGAAGGGCGGCGCGGCACCGATCCACGAAGTCCGCGCAGACCTGCCAGAGTCTCTGTCCCTGCCGATGATGTTTTTCTTCTGCGCCACCCAAAAAGTACTGAAGGTCGAATCCGTGCAACCATCCGCGGGGACCCTGAGCTTCAGGTCTTGCTGCGATAGTGCCGTCTTGTTGCTGACGAAAGAGGCTCGCCGACGGGTGGGGTTCTTCTGCACCACCCAAGCCTCCGCTGGCTCAGTTGGGGCCCAGAGCTTGACAGTCGTCGGCTTCTGGCCAGTCCACAAGGTCATGTCACCCAAGGCCTAGCTGTCCGTGGCCACGTGGGCTCAACCAGTTGCAGGTCCAGCTCAGACGACGTTCGCTTATACTGTATACGCGAACGTCGTCTGAGCTGAGGTAGGTAGCAGGGGGGGCGGCAAAATTGTGCGAGTGGTGGTAGAGATGTTGTCATAGATATACCACGCTGCTCGTCATGTACATGTCCTTCCTCAGCAGTTCCCGCGCGCGGAGCTTTGACGAGGAAGATACCCTTGCGAGCCTAGCGAACGCGTGGGATCTGGAGCTTCGGCGTTTCCTGGACGCTGTAAGTAGCTAGGGCGAACTCAAGGACTCCTGCGCAACCGTGAATCGATTTGCAGACCATTGGGATGAATATTGCAAAATTACACTCGAAGTGATGCAGGGGCTTAGCGAATCCTATCTCATCTGCCTAAGACAGCTGAGTGCCGCATCGACGAACCCTCCTTTGATCCCATCCATGGGGATTGCTTAGCCTTGCAAGAATCTTGAGAATGTCGTTGAAAACAATCTTGTCAGCGCTGCAGAGTTCAATGAGCCGCTGTTGAAGAAGGCTGGCGTAACGCACGACAAGGCTTGTGGTGACTCCACGATTTGGACGGGGTTACGATGTAGAGCATCTGGGAGGCCTTCGACACATTCACGAGCATCATGTGCATCAGATGGGTCTTAAGTTCGTTCATCACGCAGATGGGCATGTGGGACCGAACCTCCCGTAATACAATTGCACTCGTGGGCAGCGCGAGCGTGCATGGCCCCTACTTGTTCTCGATGAGTACGATATTGATAATGATGTTACCGAAGATGATTGGGGCCATGGGTGGTGAGAGCAGCGGTTGTTTTACCACTGCCACTCACGTTAACGCTATTGCCTGCGCCAGACTTACGGGAAGAATGTCTGCCGATCTCATTATATGCGTTTGGCTTGTTTTGTTAAATTCGTCCGTTTGGACACTCTTAGGGCACACGCATGCGGTCATCCTGTGTATGCTTCATCTGGCCGTAGCTGTCTAGATCTAGTTAGTCGCCTTCGGCCGATCCCGGCGCCGTGCCTCGGTTGTGGGTTTGCGGCCCTTGTGGATGTTCGCTTGGATATCGTGGGAGGCCTTCTGGGGGCCTCTTGGAGGCAGTTTTGAGGCATCTTGGGGGCAGTGTGGGGGCATCTTGGGGCATCTTCTGAAGCCTCTTGGGGGCCTCGTGGGACCTCTAGGGGGCCTCTTGGGCTCTCCTGGGGGCCTTCTGGGGGCCTCTTGGGGCGGAAGGCTCGAATTGTCGATTCGTGTTCTCCCTCTTTGGCGCTTCTTGGGGCCGTCTTGGGGCCCTCTTAGGCGATCTTGTGCGCCTCTTGGGCCGTTCGGGGGCCCTTTGGGGCCTTCTTGGGGCCCTCTTGGGCTGTCTTGGGGCGGTCCTGTCGGCCTCTGGGGCCATCCTGGAGCGTCGGAAGCCCGAAAACGCGAGAACACTAAACAGAACGAATGAACCTGGCGCGACCCCAATTAGGGGAAAGCCTGTTGCATAGGCGCATCGCTGGGCGCATCGCTTGGCATTGCTTGGCATCGAATGGCATGGGTTCGCATTTCTTGGCATTGCTTGGCATGGCTCGGCATGGCTTGGCATGGCTTGGCATGGCTTGGCATTGCTTGGGGCAGCGGGGGGCGGTGAACCCGAGGACCCCGGGGAACTCGAGGAACCCTGGGAATCCGAAGAACCTCCGATGAACGGGCAACGTAACAATATGAGGCATGGGGGGCGGGGAGCCCGAGGAATTTGGGAAACCCGAGGAACCTCCTGGACACGGCCAGCGTAACAAGAGGAGGCACCAGGGGCGGGGAACCCGAGGAACCCGAGGAATTTCAGAGAAATTGGCAAAGTAACACTCCGAAGCAATTAAGAATCCCTTAGGCAAACCGAACTGGGGAAAACATGAAGAAAATCAATGACATTTGCCTCTTGGGCCCTTTGGGGGTCTCTTTGAGCGCTCTTGGCGCTTCTTTGGGGTCCCTTGGGCCGTCTTAGGGCCAACTTGGGCGTCTTGCAGCGCTCTTGGGCTGTCTTGGAGGCCTCTCGGGCGTTTTCTCGGGCCCTCTTGGCCCGTCTTGGGGCCTTCTGGCGCTTAGAAAAGTCACGCGGGGCAGCCCAAGAACGCGCTGGAACGCCCGGGGAATTTGAAAAGTTAGGGCCCATAATCCCAGAGGGCACATGAGGACCTAAGGACACTCCACTTCGTGCGACGAGGCACGGCGGTGGATACTGGACAAGGGAGCCAAAGCCGATGTTGATAATGGTGGTTTCTGTGCGTCGCGACCAGTATGTACTACCCCATACGCATTTGATGTTAACGTTGCGCCTTGCAAATTGGAGCACGATGACCCACAGTTTAATATCAGGCTTGTTGTTGTGCTTTCATGGTGCATACTTAAATGGTCATGATGGCTCCTTCGAGTCCCTCACGCTGCCCTATCTCGTATGGCCCGACGCCACACTGTTGACTGATATGTCTAGCCTGTTTGGCGTATGGACACGTGCGCTCAGCTCAGCAACGCATTATTGCGATGTAATGCGGAATAGGAATAGTTCACGTGTCGCACTTGCAGTTCGATATTCACATAGGGCTCTCACCACCCATCTGTTTGAGTGTGCACATCGACGCTGTGTTGCTTCTGCTCTTGTCCAACTGCATCTATCCGAGTTCGAAGTTAGACTGAGGTCCCAGAGGAGAGGAGTTGGAAGAAGTGGTGGAGGTGGAACTCAGTCTAGAGTCTGGGCAGCCTTCGAGCTCAAAGGTTGATCAGGTCCGAGCCCAAATTCAGTGCAGCATGCGGGTTTGTGTCGTGGCTGCGGGGCGCCCGTCGCGCAAGCGGCTTGTACCATGTCAACCCGCCCGCTCCCTCTGTTACCCTTCTCTATTGTCCTATCCTGCTCTCGTCCCCCTCCTGCTGCCGCCGATGCCCACATTACCATAACCATGAAATGTGGATGTGAGATCACCCGTCTCGCGCGTCCAAGCGCGACGCAATGAGCGTGCGCAGCCCCAAAAACGCAAGAAAACATGTGCCTGTGGTCAGGGGCAACTTCAGGGAAGGAGCGGGCTCAGGCCGGATGCATCGACCCCCGATCGCCCACTGATCGCAAGAAGGGGCTGGACGGCCCACGCCGCCCAGGACCGAGCAACTCGTTATCGGGGGGCCCATCGCCGATCTATCGGCGACGTATCATCGATTCCAGGTCGTTGCTTCCCGCCCTCAGCCGCCCCCCCCCCCCCTGGACGTGTCCTTGGTGTGGTGAGGCTGCCGGAGTCCAGGGCTTGGACGAGTTGTTGTTCGGGTGTTGCTAGGAGTGCCGTTTGGGCCACCCCGAAAATCCTGTTGGTGCCTTGGGCGAGGGGCACTTCTAGCAAAAACCGGAGTGTTTGCAGTGCCCAGGTCCTGTGGGAATAGCGGCTCGACCAAGCGGCCGAAGTCGAGGTGTCGAGATCGGCCTGCACGTGTTTCGGCGAGTCTGCCGTGAGCTCTGAGTGGGCCTGTGGAGGCCCGCAGGCAGGGCTCGGCGGGGGGGGAGGAGGGATGGGGAGGGGAGGGAGGGGGGCGAGGGGAGGGGAGGGCAGGGGAGGGGAAGGAGGGAGGGAAAGAGGAGGAGGGGGAGGAGG